AGCCTCTGCTCATTTAGATTGTATTTGCAAACTTTGGAAAGGGCAGGCAGTATATCCTGCTTTATCATATGTTTATCCCTTCTGGTTTACCTTTCCACTTCTGCTGTATTTTCAGAAAAAGTAGAAGAGAAAATTTGCTGGTTTGATTTTTAAATATTTCTGAGAAGCCTTCTTTACATATTTTTGAATATTGTGCCCAAATATTACAGTTCCCATAAATTAACCTAAACTACCCTTATTAAAAGCAGTTAGGAACAGATTATCTACATGCTCCTAAAGAAGGGGAGAAAATCATGATTCTCCTGATGGTTTTGGGAATAGACTTTTTCTAAACATCTTCACAGAATTCTTTTATTGTTTCATTAGACTTTGTGCCAAAGGTGGATAGGGGTAAAAATGGTTTTGCATCAAGTTTGGCAAAAGTGTTAAATATGGGGGTTTTATTTTTAAGGTAGATAAAAGTAACAAGTGATTTAAGGGTGGCTTGTAAGAATGGAAAGGGATATTGTTTAACAGAACAGAAACAATTTGAATTCTTTTTAGATTATTTTTTATCTATTAAAATATGAGGTCATTAGAGCATGTCTGTTTTTACTCTTTTTTAATTACTTGTATATATAAACGTAAGAATTCCTGCATATGCTACTGATGTAGAAGAAATTTCTTGCAAAGTTTATTTGTAAAAATTACCGTTTATGATTAACTTAGTCTTCTAAATTTTAATAATTCTAAAATGCTTTATAAAATTTTATCACTTATAAATTCTGTATGTATGATTAGTATTATCTTATGTACAAAACAAGAAATATCTTTTCGTACTATCAGAGGAAGAAAAAACCCAACACTTAATTTTGAAAAGATTACACTAAATGCAGAAGCTCTTTTAACTTAGTAAAAAATGCACAAATGCTCTGGAGTGTTTCCATGTAAGAGAAGTCAAAAAAATAAAACTAGGACACGTGTAAAAGTGTTTTGGTAGGAAACAATTGGATATGTCTACAAGAATTTCTAACTGGACAATATTTGTACAGAAAGCCCACAAAACTGGCCCAAATAATTACTGCAAGATAATTACAAAGAGCATTCAGCTTATAATTTCATGATTATTCTGAAAATTTACTTAAGGAAATCACAGACATGCAAAAATTACTATGTAAATAACAATACATATTTAAAGACCGAAAAATCCCTTCAGGAGAACCAGAGTCTAAGTGAAATGTTTGTATAAATAATAGTTAAGTTCAACAATTTACAATGCATCTAGGTTCATCATCAGTTTCTTCTTTGTTTCAGTGTAATTGAATAATAAATTGGCTGATTTACTCATATTTGGGTACCATAAGAGGAGTGAAGCTGTGATGTTGATTTTATAGATGCAACACTGAATTCTGAGCTGTCATTGGATGGGCAAAAAAGACAAAAATAGTCAAGAGAATATGTAAAGAAAGACACTAACTTTAAAGACTAAAAAGCTTCCTTTTGCGCTTTACTTTTCTGCTTTTCATGCTCATGTTCTACGCTTGAGATAATCTACCAGGTAAACACACTATGAGCTCAGGGGGAAAAAGTCCCCCTAAAATTCAAAGAAAAGTGAAGTCAAATAGCTAAAATAAAGTTTGGAGGTATATTTGACGTGCTGTCAGAAAAAAAAGCATAGTCTGAGTTACAGCTAAAATATGCAGTCTTCTAGAAAGCAAAAAGATCCTTCCCAATTCAGTAAAAATGTAGTGATACATCTGCTGAAATGGAAAAAACCCTTTACTTAAACCTTCACACTATCCTCTCCAAAGGAGAGGATATGCTCCAACCAGCATTTGACTGGTTGACTTGTTCGTATTCTGAGATTCAGGTTTCCTGATGAAGTATTGACAAGCACTTTGCAAATGCCCATGGCATTCCATTAAAAAATGCAGCTTTTCCTGCAGGTCCTTGAGAAACACTGGAGAACTGATGCAAATGATCCCATGGTACCTTTAAGCAGTGGACCTGTGAATAGCTTTGATGTGAATAAGATAAGTACTAGTGACTTAACCTGTTTATGATTTTAATTTCTTATTCAATTTACTTTGTCTGGTATTTTGCAGCAAGAATGACACTGCATAAAACTAACTGCAATTACTGTGTTGTATGCAATATAAACATACTTCTTTAAAGCAGTCACTTAATGATAGAAATGGGGGGCAGGGAATAAACTTTAGAAAAAAAAATTTCTGGATTTTTCCAACAATTTCTATCAAATCCTTTTCTTAGAAACTAAGAAAATTCTACATACCATTGCTTCTGCATTAAGTAGCTGCTCTAGCTGTTATTTCTATATACAGAGAGCAAAATCTAACTACTGTACTTCTGTACAAATGGTCCTGACTCAGTGTTAATGTGAATCCTTGGAGAATGTAAACTTTGATTCTCACATATGCAGTCACTTCACAGTCATTTTTTTCAGAAATATGCAAGGAATTGCTTTTGCAGAAATGAAACAAAGACAGAAATCTACATTACTGTAAAGCATTTATGAGGCCAAACAAAACCAGAACTTGGGTCCAGAATTCTGAACTCTTTAGAGCAGACAAATATACACAATAAACGTATCTGTGTGGATCTTCAAGAAAAATACACCAAACCATGCATGTACATATATTTTGAAAATCAACAGATGCCAGACAGTCCTTAGGTTGCATGAACTGTAAAATCTGTCTCCAAGTGAACATCTGGAACATTTAAATCTTAAATCTAGAGTCGATCTTCTAGATTCCTCAGGGACTATAATGAAGGACTGACTGCACAAACACCTGCCCTTGTCTGCTGAAGGATTTATTTTCTTAGATAAAGTAGGCAACATGGCATCTCTTCCAAGCCATGCTGTTAATGTTTACAGTTGCTAGACTGCTATAATTCCCTTAGTCCAGGATCACAACTTTACTAACTTTACTCAGAACATTATAGTTATGGTGGTTTATGGAAGCTTATTTTTGGATATTTGTAATTTTGGCACTCTTGAAGTGTTTGTCTCCCTAAATCCAGATATTGTTTCAACCTTTTATTTTTCATAGTTTGTGTGCTTGTTTATTTAATTTCTGTCTGTGTAAGAAAATTCTAAAATCTAAAGTTGCAGAAGTATTAAGAAGAAACAATAAAAATGTTCTTGATAGTGAAATTTATTTTTTTAGAAACCCATTATTTCCTTTGCAGTGTCTTAAAACTTCACTTCCAGAAAGCATTTCTTGCAAAAAACCACACAAATCCCACACACAAATGTGTGCTTTACAACCATTTGATATGTCTGAATCAGGGTACTCTCTCTAAAACGTGAGTGTACCCTGCAGTGACTGCATAGGTTCTTTACCTCCTTAATTTTCACTTGGCAAGTAGCCCAAGTCTCTGCTTTAAATTTCCCACTTGGTAGCACTACTATGGCACCTGAAGAGTAATTAGTTGTAAGAAAGGGAATTTTAACTGTTTGCTGAGAAGGAAAAAAATGTGCATGCCTAATAAAGATTTTTTCCTTGAGTATCTGCAATACCATTTATTTATTTTTGCTTAGAATGCACCATCCTTTAAATAGATCGGTGACTATTTTTTCTTTTTTTAAACCTTCCAGAAAAACTGAGTGAAAGAAAATTGGTTTGGTTTTAAAGCCAAGCTACTTTGATTTTAGTCAGTCTTTTACATTACAGCAGCTCTTATCTTTACACAAATTTGATCCCCCTGCCTTTTCTGTTTTTTTAAACAGTTTCCTGATAATGGTGTTTTTTATTTTAATTTTCATATTGGTCTTCTATGGACATCTAAGGTGTGGTCTTCTACGGACATCTAAGGTGTAGTCTTCTAGGAACGCAAAACCTCAAGATGCCTGAGAAATCATAATGTTTTACCTAAATTACATATGTAATTCCCTGTGAAGCTTATACTGCCCATGAAACTTTATATTATAGTACTGTTTGTAAGATAGGCAGATCTTCATTGGTTCCAATGACCTTGGAAACTCTTTTCAGTTCAATTCATTACATATATATAGTTATGCAAAATGAGTAACAGAAATGAGGTTTTCTCTCCTCTAGAAATTAGCAGTTCCCTAGCCCTAAGAAAGAGAAAAGTGCTGCTCCTGATACTGCTTCTGCCTTCTGTGCAAATAAGAAATGCAAAGAAGTTTGAGAGGGAGGGGATTTGATTTCTTTTTTAATGTCTGCCTCCTTCCAGCAAGTCCATCTGTTGTAGCACTATAATTCTGGAAGCAGGATGTGTGTGTGACCAACAGGAGACAATTACTGCATAAGTGTTTGTTGATTCAGCTCTATAAAGGGCAGGCCAATCACTACAGTATGAACAGAAAAGAATTCCAGCTGAGGAGCTGCATATAGATTAACACAAAACACATATATAAATGAGAATGGGGAAAACCAGAAAGGAGTAATAGCTGGAAAAGGATTAAGTAGGAACAAAGACTGAAGCAGAGAAGAAAGCTGGCATCTTTGGGCTATTTAACCCAAGTTTATTAGTCTCTATTTTCATAAATTTTGCTCTCTGGCTTTCCACCTTAACAGAGAAAGATGGGATTAAATACATATGGAACTGGTCTGAGCTCTCTATTGAAGAAAACTCCAGTTGTCTTGGGGCATAAGGAGACACTGTCTGTTCTTCACAGAGGAATGGGTGCTAGTTTCTGCAGACTGACCAGATTCTCAGCAAAGCAGTTTGCAGATCACAGGCTTAAAGTGAAACTTCCCTCACTCATTTGAATGCACCATTTAAATGTCACCATGAAGACTACTTTGTTTTCAGAAGGATAAATGAATTGGGTTGATATAATAATAAATCAGGTCTCAGTATCATTTGTAAACAATAACTGACTCAGAATCTCACAAAAAGCATTCCAATAGATATTTTTTCATAATTTTGACTATAATAAATTAAACTACAAAAATCAATGTTATCACGGTTTCAGAGAACTGCAACAGAATTAAGCTGAACATCGTTAGACACCATAATAAAAAGTACTTTACCTCTATGGTCAGTTTACTAGTTTGAAGTTTCTGATTAGCCAAATGTAGCTGATTTGTTAGTTTTTCATTGGTTTCTTTCATCTCCTTCACAGAAGTCACTGCAGTCTTTTTTTCATTCTGTAAAACAGCTATCTGCTTCTGCAATGACTTAATTCTTTCCTGCAGTAGAGTAACAGAGTAGCCTGGTTTCTGGACGGTCATATTTCTCCTTTTTGCTCTGTTCACTAAACATAAAATGTCATGTTACTAAACTGACAGATCATCATAAGTGACATGATTTCTGATTTTGTTTTGGCCCTTTAAAACGCTCTTGAAGTCTCTAAAATATTTTTCAGTAAGCAAACTGGTAAATTAACAGTTGACCTATAAAAACATACAACATATAAAACATATAAAACCAATCAACTTATAAGTGCTCTAAGTTGTACTTTTTCTGAAGTGCCAACACTTCAAACTCAACGAGGACTTGGAAGTTAAATGTGCCTCTGATTGGTATTACCAAAAATAAGGCCTTCGGTGTCTTCAGTGTCTTGTTAACAGATGGTTTTTTTTAAGGTCTAAGCCAAAAACCATTAATTTGTTTCATTAGCTGTGTTGGCTACAAGGGTCAAACATGAACAATAAGTAATGAAAAGCCTCGTATCAGTCAGTAGATTCAATTGGTGAGACTTAGTAAAAACAGAGTATATATTAACTGCGTGAAAAGATGCTGTTTGACGGTCACTTATATGACAATTTCACTTCAAAATAATGAGCTAAATATTTGAAAGTACACACACAAATTTAAACAAGCAAATTTTTTAACAGCATTCAGTGGGTTTGTGTAATATAGCAGAGGTTTTGGTAGGTAGGAATGCTTCGTCGGTCTTATTTACGAAGTTGCCAAAAATATATAATATTTCTACCTTTGCTTAGAATCGATGGATGTGATGTTACAAGATAGCAGATCTTCCTCCTCTTGGAATGTAACTTTTCTAAGTCTTTATTCTGTGAATGGCACTAAATAAAAAAGAGAAGCACAAAGTGAGCAACTCTTCATTGCGGCACACCAAACACAACACTGTAAATTTTTCCAGTTTGAACTGAAACAACAAAAATTACTTCAAATAATATACAAATTCTAGTGAATTCTGATCTGAAAATCAGTCTTACAATATCAGCCAGTGAAGAGTACTTTTCCATCAAATGTAAAAGAATTAATGAACTGTTGTAGGTAAGTCATAGCCTTTTCCGAAGAATCCCAGAGAAAAATTAATTACCCGTTAATGTATCCATTACTTTTTCAGATAAGATCTGAATTTACTAGTAGGGGAAAAAGATGGTCCGTATTATTTGAAAGTCTACAGTATCTTATTTTTCAAGATATTTAAGTGAAACTAAAAGGAGTAGTGGTCTCATTAGTTCAAAAGGAGGAAGACCAGATTAGACACTGAGCTGTAACTAGAAGACATATGAAACTATGTGAACATGCAAAATAAAATCGCTGTGTTTGACCAGGGTTTAACAGAAGTCTGCTGCATGCCTTTTAAATATGTAATTTGAAAAATCAGCAGTTTCCAGAACCTATCCAATGTCCAATGACAGAAGAAGAGACTGAAGAAGAATGTTGCTTGCCATACGTAAAATGAAAATGGCGAGAGCATGGCTTACTCTAAAATCAAAGTACTATTTCACTGAGTGTATTTTTAAACACCTTTGTTCTGGAATTCTGCAATATTTATTCAATTTTTAAAGTCTTCAGATTGTAATATTTATGTGGTACCATGCAATATTTCTGGAAATATTAATAGCTAAAATAGTTGTTAATAAAATTTAAAAGAGCAAAGAGCAACGTTCACTACTAACTGCACTGAACAGACTACTGACATTGCAGGATAGCTTAGCCATGAATTCCAGATTTGCACAATCACCACACAATTTGAAGGACCAAGAATTGAGGTCTCAGCAGATGATGAGCAAACGATCCATGCCTGCAGTAAAAAGATGGAGATCTCCACTCTAGGCCACAGCTCTAATAAATGTATGAGTTGTAAGAGAGTGCCAATAACTTCGATGAAACTGCACAGGGTATTATATATTTATACCATGCAGGGCAAAATTGACAAAAGTCATTGTGTCGTAACTGATTTCATCTTTAACCCCTGTCATAGCTCAGGACTTTGGTGTTGGGAGGAATGAAGATGAATGGCAATGTTATGAAGCCTGGAGGAGAGTTTACAATCCATAACGGGACATTTATATACTGGACTTGACTTATCAATGCTGGATGTGACACCTCACGGATATGACAGTTTTACCCAGTTTTCCCCAGTTTATTGTTATACTGTTATATGGTTGTGTGTACCCCAGTTGTTGTTTTTTGAAATTGTCCTCCATGTTGTCTCCTTCTTCCCCTCACAGTTTTCCCGCCTTTTTCCCTGTTTTCCCGCTCCTCTGCCTGCCATTGGTCAATATTTGGTGCAGTGCAGAGGTAGCTGCCATTGGCCCATTCCCCTAGTTACACCCAAACTCCTCCCCTCCTTGCCTGAGTACCCAATCACCTTTGCCCCCAAGTTGTCAGTCTCTTGCTCCTCCCTAGCCCAAACTCCACCCTCAAACCTACCCTATATAAGTTGTTGTTCCCTTAATAAAGTTTGGCATTGCACCTCGACCTCTATCTGTGTCAAGAACCCTTCTTTGCAGTGCTCGACCCCATTCCCTTTCCCCGCGGGTCGTGGCACTTTGGAGATTCCTCTAGCCTTTCTTTGTATGAGAATGCCATGACACAGCTGGACAGTCCTTAAATCCCCTGGATGGATTTAAGAATTCTATTAAAATCATTTAGGGTTCCCAACTGTCAACACTAAACCTTTGTGCAATACTATCTTCTGTCCTCACAAACCATGTTTTCAAATGCTTTTCCTGCAACATGGGAGCAGTTCTGCTGAAGTACATTTAACTATTTAGGGTCCTCCGGATGCTTTCTGTGTATGCTCCAATTCCACCAGTCTGTTAAATATGAGTATCAGGATATATCTGTGCTTGTCTCTTCCAGTAGGAACAGAGAATAAATGCAATACAGGCCTACAGAAGAGGTAGTGGCTGAGCAAGAGAGAACAGAGCCTCCTGGATTGCCTGCCTTGCATGTCCTCACCCAAGAGCAGCAGGAGGTAACAGGAGTAGCACACTCTGTCAGATTTTCACGTATATCATGTGCACGTACTCATACTATGTATTCTATACCAACAGATGGTTGCATAACAATTTTCCTTTTTTTTCATTTTTTTCTGACCCAAAAGGTTTTGATGGAATAACACGATCAAGAATATGTAAGAAGACCAGAGAGTTTGTATTTGCTTTGAAATTCTGGAGACTAAGAAAATATACATTTTTTTTTATTATATGATCATATAAAACTGAATTTCAAACTAATTATCTTAAAGTAGTGTTTTCAGTGTTTTAGTATTCTGTTTCTTGAACTAAGAAATAAAAATATCTGCTTGTGTTTTAAATTCCATGAACTGATTTATTTGGGCAAAGACAGGAGAGAAAAAGTACTAGACACTGTTCAAAAGTCCAAGAATGAGTCATGTGTTACAGATTGTACGGAGCCTCTGAAGACCTGGAAAACAACCAGCTGGCTCTCTTCCGTGAGAAAACAGCATATAGATGTTAACAATGAGACAATCAGTTCAAATCCCAGACAATGAACTTAAATAGGCTAAGAAGGTGGTAAAAGTATACTTTTCTCAAGATAAAATCTCCTGGACACAGGTAGAGTCAAAAGCATCTTTCTAAGATGGAGACAACTCGTCCAGTACACACCAAACAAACTGAGAGATGTTTATACTTGGTTAGTCAGCACACAGTTTGGTTAGATGGGAGGGAGGATTGTTGCTGTTTCCCAGTTATGGGCTAGGTCAGCCTGTTCTGTATGGCATATCTGATTGCAAGAAAGTTTAATGGGATGTCTGTGGCATTCTTTGTCTGGCCTGTGAGACAGCAGCACTAGCTTACAGCAGCTTAACATTTTTTAATCAGTTTTTGTAATCCTGACACCCTCTCCAAATACTTTTGCAGACTAATAATTCAGAAAATATTCTAAATGATAATGAATCTATCCACTGAATATCTGGAAGCAGATTTTATTTTCCCTTTACAACAAGAGTCAAATTAATTATGAGCAGAACAGCAGTGCTAATATTAAACTTCAACACTCCACACGGGAGAACAAAGCAAGTTCTATTATATACCTTTTGGTTATATTGCTCGTTTTTGCCTTCTAAATGAACAGTGTTGCAGGACTTTTTTTCTTGTTGTTTACTTCTGTCTGGCAGTGGATCAATGTTTTGCACTGTCTTCATAATCACCGTTTCCAAACTTTCAGAATTTGGTATCTCAGAGTCACTAAAACAGCATGTTCGGGAAAACAAAATCAAGACAAATACTAAAAGTTCCAAAGAGCCAATGATTAGGCACATAGAAATTAACACATGTAAGAAAGAAGAGAACTAATATAAAATCCAAACACTACTAAGGTGACTTATTTAATAGATTTTACAAATAAATAAAGAAGAAATCTATCACCAAAATGGTCTTAAAAATTTCTACTCTGTGAAAAGGAATCTCACTCTACAATGAAGTCCGAGACTTAGCTGCTTCTTAAAGGACAGCTTTTGTTACAATCTACAAAAGTGACATACAGGAAAAGATACTTGACAGTATTTCAAGTCTGTTAATGGCTCATAAAGTACTAAATTTCTACTTTCCTTCATTTTCACATTTTATAACAAAACAAGTAAATGTATAATACTTTATAATATTTTGCTTCAATTGAACTTCATCTGGGGTGTTGGCTGAGACAAAACCAAAAATCGAACTTCAGTGAAATCTCTATTTAGCACCCCTTTGGAGTGCTTTTAAAATTCTGTAAACTTGGTAATCCTTTCACTGAGATTGCCTCCCATGCAGAGAAACTAGACCTGAAACTTTAATTCTTTTTCAAATTTTTCCTTAAAATTGCACTAAATGTGCTCTTAATTGACAGTTTTTCACTGCCTTCCCTCAGATTACTATTTGCTTTCTTATATTCAGTGAAGTCTATCCTAAAACTTGAAGTCTTGGATGTATAATTTTCTATAGCATCAGTGGCTATTTATCATTATTTGTGCAAACAGATTTGTGAAGGAATCCCTTGACAGAAGGTTATTTTGATTTGTTATTCTTTAAACCAAGATATTTAAAATGGCATAACTGAGTTCAAATTAAGTTGCACCATCATAAAAATCTATGGTTTAGAGATTGAGGCTACTTAACCAGAGAAAAAGCCTCAAATTGAAGAGTTCACACAGAAAAATGTTTATACTTTTCAAAACTTGTCCTGACGCATTAGTATGTCTTATTGACTGATAAGAAAAGAAATCAATGTAATGGTTTAAAGGTGTTGCAGTAGCACTGAGACATTTCTAACTACATACACATTTCCCGCACCTGAATGCTTTCAAGGAATGTTCTATTTAGAAAATGGAAACTTGAATTTAGAAACTCAGAGGCAGGTATTATTGATAAAGAACAGTATTTACTAATAAGTAGAAGAGGGAACTACTTTCCTAACTTGTTGAGACTGACATCTTGAAACCTCACTCTCAAAAGTGTTCACTATTCTATTACAAGAATTCCCTAAGCCAGCATTTGTACAATAATCAAAAATAGTATTTATGGCTAGCTATGAAATGATGCAATTATTTTCATAAGCTATGCAATTATTTTCCACTTCAACCTCAAAGTGCGATGACAGTGTGTTCGCTCAATTTTGCTCTTAAAGAGAACAACACAGTAAATGAAACAAAAAGCTCACTAACTGCAAACGTGCATCCACACTTGCATATGTGCAAACATGAATGTTTTCTGTTGAAATCAGATCTACAATATTACAGAAAAACAAATAAGCTTAACATTAATGATATCAATTGACAAATTACATGGTTCTTAATTTGTTAACTTGCTCAAAATACTGTGTTCAGGAACCACTTATTTTGCACAGGGAGAAGCAGCAGAAGGGCTTAATTTGCCACTATTGATTTGCTGTATAACCCATAAAGCCAACAAGAAGACTATGAATGATTCCATTTTCTTTATTCTTTTGCCACCCTTCCTGCATTTTGGATAACACAGGCTTGAGAAACTTCTTTGCTTGTCTGTTAGGACAAAGTCCTGAAAGACAAGGTGTGATAATCATTTGCCTAGTGGCCTATTGCTGCCTCCTCAAGTATGTAGGGACAAATGGAAGAAGCAAAACTTCCAAATGTTTATTTAGCTTGCCAGTGCAATTTTCTGAGAGCTTTGTGACTCCTGACTGGGACTGTATGTGGTAACAATTACCTTTAAAGAACTGATTTTTAACCATCGTTCAATTAAAGTTAGTACAATGACTGTGCATAAAACATACATGAAATAATTAGTGTGGATGGTTCTTAATTTAAAGGATGTTAAACAGCTTGTAGACATCTGCTAGCAAGCTGAAATGGGTCATTCAAAATTTATCTAACTAAATTAAGGGGAAAAAATGTTTCTCCTCCCGGGTCGGCATGTCACAAGATAACTAAACCGACTTAGTTGGCTTGCCTGGGAATCCTTAGCTGTCAGTGGTGAATATGCAAAGGGCCAGCAAATTAAATCAACCTGCCAAACTGTCAATTTCAAGCCTCATGACTGCATGAAAATAGCATCACTGGAAGAAATCAAGCATTGCCTTCTTTTGGGTTTCCTGGCACCTATTCAAATACTCATGCAGTTGTGGTTAATTTCACATGCAAATTTCAGTCAATAAGCTCAGAACAAGACCTCCCAAGATATTTCAAAGGATCTGACAGTATTTTTTTTGAATACCAAATCAACAGTAGTTGAAATTCAATCTCCATTTGCTAGTGCTTTACATATGCACAGTGTCCCCTCTACAGGGCTAAGTTAATGAGAATCGTACCTGCTTTCATTCACATCCTCCCAGCCGTCCTTACTGAACTTCTCAAATACATTACTCATAACCTTGATGGACTGTTTGAGAAAAGCTCCATGATGTCCCAAAGAGCTCTTTTCCTTGGCTGTTTTTAATTTAACCTTGGTGCCTGTTATCTTGCAATTACATTGCCCGGAGGTTGTCACTGCTTTGGCTTTATCCGGCAAGCATTTCGGCTCTTGCACTTGACTCAGCAAATCTTCACTTTCATTTCTCAACCTGTTAGCTTCTGCCACTTGCCTCTTCAAAGAGGCAGCTTCTTTTTCCTTCTCATCAATCACTAACTGAAGTTCTGATTTTTCTTTTTTTATTTCACAAATCCTCTTAAGTAGCATTTCCAGCTCTCTTTCTGTTGTGTCTGCATCTTCCTTTTGTACTTTTAAAGATTCTCTCAAATAAATTTTCTGATTCAATAAGTCTTTATTTACTTCTTTCTGTTTCCTTAATTCCCCTTCAATAGCACTGAATCTTCTTTCTAGCTGTTGCATCTAACAAAAGCAATTCACAATTTAGCATTCACAATATTTCAGCCCATCGAGTAAAAAAAATAATTATGTTCTCAAATATATTTTTATATGACAATAATATCACATGAAGCACAAGGACAAAAACAATCTATAGTCCTTAAATTAAAAATAATTCTAATGTAGTGCAGATGAAAACATTTTAGCTGCAATAATACAGCTGTTGAACAAAGGGCAGATGGTAAAAGAAGTTAAAATTTGAGGCAAAGTGACACACAAGTTTAGGTATGCTAATAAATCTCCCTGATGCATCTTGAGCTCATTACTGATTTGGTTATACATACTAATTGAATTTAAAAAAACATTTTCAGAAGGATTACTACTTTGAAATACAATTTTGCGCTAGCTATGTAAATCAACAAGTTCTTTTAAGTGTCGTAAATACACACATAAAATATTAATTTTATCTTTCAAAAAACCCCAAACAAATCCTAGCAAGAGATATCAGAAACTCAGCACCTAAAACCATGAAAGCTAATATGTTTTTCTATTCACTGAAAGGAAAAATCTATCCTGTTTTAATTAAGATACTTTAACTTTACAAGCTGCTCATATAAATTCTGAAGAAGCGTTCTACCTATATATGATATATATGCTTTGTTTGTAAAGTCCTTTGAGGTTTACACATATTCAAGGTCATTAAAAATAAACTGATTCTCTATGATGTTCTGGAATATTTGCATAAAGCAGCAACTAAACCTCTCAATTTCCAGCAAAAAGGGTCAATTTTAATTTTAGCAGATGTTAAAATGAATATTTAGTCTGTGAGATTTCCCCAGAAGTGTGAAGATGGCAGCAGAGTAAGTTTTGTGCTCAATAACCACTTTATCCAGTATTTTTGAAGAAACACTTTTTTAGTTAGCTTTGTACAAGCTGCATTCCCACTCTTTCCCTAGCGGAAGTGTCAGGGACTCTAGATTTCTCTGGATATGGTTAGGAAAGACTATATTTCAAAAATGCACAAGGCTAACATGAACTTGTCACCTTGTAAAATACTGGCCAGTTTCTTCACTTTGTAGCAAGACAACATGTCAAAACTACCTTTGACACTGAAAATACTGAAACCATATTATTTGTCAGTGAATGCTACATGTTTTTACAAGGACATTTTGTCAATGTATTTGAATTATTTTAAAATTTATGGAATCTATTACGAAATGGGTACCACAGATGTGATTCAGATAAATAAGAGGTCTTAATGTACAGGGTAGATTTGGACAAGAGCTGCTCAAACTTCCTATACATTTGTGAATTTGATACTGAATTTCTGCCTTTGATAGCAAATCTTTAATATGAATGCCTATGCATTGCTAGTTTCCATTATGGAAATTCACAGCACTCCCACAGTGAAGAGACATTGCCTTATGGCTACATAAAGCAAATTGGTGAAATTAGAAATAAAAGGGATTTTTTCAAGTGCTTCAATGAAACTAAGGTTTATGATAAAAATTGCAGTTTGCACTTTCCTCCCCAGTGACAAGGTGTTAGACAAATACCTTTCTTCAATCACCTTCCTAAACTGATTTTCTGCTATTATTTTCTCAGTTCTTTAAAGCAACCTTTTGCACTCAGTAGTACTTAAAGTCATGTATGACAGCTGGAAGGAAACAAACAATGAAAAGCTTCTACACCTCTCCCCAAGGTACCATCATAACTCTGTATATCCATAGAGATAAAAATTATGTAGTACCTGGCAAACAAAATTACAGTTCTGAAATATAGATGATAAGCAAGCATAAACTGTGTGACATTTCAGATGGTAGTATTCATATTATTTCAATTACTCACTCTACCTTAAGATAAATGAATGTGAGCACTTCCTATTCTGTGTGTTATTATTTTAACATGATGTTTGTCATTCAGTAATAACGAGATGACAGCCTTCATTGCCCGACCATATGGCAAGTGTTACAAATATATGCAATCACATCATCTGCTGTAAATTACCATACTCTCTACAAGTTAATTCACAAATAAAAAATAAATAGACATACCTGAACTGACGTTCAAAGTTATAGATTCGTTTTTATTCAATTTAGGCATGCTTTCAAAGATTTATAAGTAATTAAACAAATAGTTTTGCAAAATGACAAACAAAAGGCATGATATTGTTTAAAGGATGCCTTTTCTTTGCAAGCAAACAAAACATATGGTAAAATACAAGTGAGCCCTCTGAAGTGAACACCTGTTAACATACTAAACTACTTGTGTATGTTACAATGATCAGTACAAATAGCAACTAGTTAAGAGCATCTTGTAACTGTAGGAGGCAAAACATGTAGAATGTTGATCAATAAAGATAAAATACCTATCATATTTGCTAAGCTAAAGAATACTACATGCTATCTTGTGAAAAGAGTGATAGGCTCAAATATGTAGAAAATATTTTCATATGCAATATAGTGCTAAAATTTAAATGTAATAAAAGGTAGATTTATCACTATTATGCATCAATTCTATTCTGCAGCAAGAGCTCTATGGAGATTAACACCTGATACCATGTAAAGTTAAATAGTCAGCAAAAGAAATTAAGGTTCCTGAACTTTCAGTGGCAAAATGCTAAGCATGTGTTACTTCCAATTTAGATAATTTGTTATTTTTTTACATTACACCTCTAAACATTCTTTTCATTTTCTCTGACATTAGCCATGTTTATCTTAACGATAAACGATAGCTACTTCCCAAGAATTAATTTCTGCATGCAATCCTGTAAATCCACATTTTTAAATTAGGAAAGAAAACCATTGCTTAAATTTATGATCACTGACAGATATATATATATGTGTGTGTGTGTACATATAGAGAGATAGATATAGGATTCTTATACCAAAATTTAGGTCTGTTTGCTGGGGTTGGTATCTCACCTTCTGTAACATTTGATGTGAAACTTCTCTCATATTCCCCACCAGAGTATTATTTTTGATCCCATCATCTTCACTAAGTTTAAAAAGTGGCTCTGTCAGAAAATAAATAACAAATCTCTATCATTGAATAAATAAAACACATTGTGGCATTTAATATGTCACTAAAACAATCCCTAGACATTTTAAGGAAATGCATTATTTACTTCCACAATGATTTATAATTTGGTCTATTTTCTTGACAAGCCTTTTGGTCACTTTCTGAAGAGTGACCTCTCTTCAATTATTATTGGAGAATCTCTGTAGCATCACAGTATGTTTTTTCAGAGTACAAGCTTTTCAAAGGTACAATAGATCTGCAGGTTAAAGACACTACACTTTCATTCCAATTTTTAGTCTTTTATAGACTATTCCCTCTATACCTTAAAAGCAGAATTCCTTGCCTTTTTATCTACAGTCACTACCAGTTTTGTTCTCTAGGTCTTGTCCCCTGCTAGGAGGATCAGAGTGATTGGTGAACAAAGCAAACAGTAACTGAATTAGGATGGATGAAAACTTTAAACCCTGGTTTTTGTTAAGTTAAAGATCAGGTACTTCACCAGATGAATCATACAAATCATTCCACTGAAATACTGGGAAATCATAACAATTAGAAATTGACACAAGTAATGAGAGTAAACATGAATCTAAGCATCAGTGTCAGAGACAGCTATACACTTTAGGTACTAAAAATCCCAAGTTAAAAATTAGATCTATTGAGAAAGAAGAATGCTAAGAAAATGTTTACAAGCACTAAGACATACAGTCAATCAGAAGTAAAACACATTCTGTTTAGATTTTAATCAAGAGCTTAGCACTCACAAATTGCCCACTGCTCACAGAAATGTCCAATTACACACTACAGAAGGTTTTCATCTTAGAATATGAAATACTACATTAAAGAACAAAAGAATCCCAACACTCTAAAAACACCACAATATTCATATTTCTTTTCTAGTCCTTCTTTCCTCCAAATTAACTTAAAAAATTAATCTTAAGGGATAAATATCTGTGCTACATGGTGAAGGTCTGCTTTAGAAGTAATATTTCAAACTACAAGCAGACACTGTAGGTCACTTAAAAACTTTTGATTTATAAACAAAGAAAGCGTAGAAGAAAACAGTGTTACTCTCTGTAGATTCACAACCCTCTTGATATAAACAGTGACTAACAAGTTTGTTAGAGTGAATTAGACCTTTCTTTTGTCTTTGGAACGTGTCATGGCCAATTAATACTTCTGTAATCATGAAATAAATGGAACACTATTCTAAAGATAATAAAAGCTGAAAAAGGTAAAACTATGCATCTGGGGAATATGTACCTTTACCTTGATATTAATATGCTAGTTCCCATGTTACTTCAGACTACAGTCCCCCAGCACAGTGGTACTGCATACATTTAGAACATTCTTTAAGTAACACACAAAGATAATATGAACATGCTTTTCATCTTTTTCTAAATATTCACTCATTTGAATGTCTGTTGTAGCTTTTATATCAGCATTTACTGTACTCCACTGAAAAGAAAAATTATTTCCCATAGTCAAAGAAACTGATCAAAGCACAAAAGGTGTTATGTTTATTATGTGGATGTATTAAAATGCAATTTAAAACTCTATAAATAAACATATTATATGCAGATAATAAAGAATACTGCTGCAAAATAGATAGAAAAGACTATACTTGTTCAGTATTATCACAGAAGACACAAGGAATGTAAATAAAAGTAAAGCCAAAGGTCACTGATACATAACCCTTTCTACTGAGCAGAAAATAAATGGCCCATTCTAGCCCCTTCTCCTCTCGACCCTTCTAATTGTTATGTAAGCGTTCATTGGAATTGGTTAGGGAGGCAATGAAAAAGCATCACCTGTAACTAACTGTCTGTCTGTGATAGCAGAAAGATACATCATATCAGTCTACTCAGCAAGACGTGCTCTACCTGTCATACTGCTACATAAAAAAATACCAACTTCTCCCTCAAGGAATAGACCCACAAGTCATAAACCCCACTATCTTCAGTCATCAGATTACCATGGTCTTACAGAAGCTCACTTATGTCCCACTGAGAAAACATAGCTAACTGCCAGCTTCAGAATGTAACACTTAATTCCTAATTAATAGTCACCAAATCTGATGATAAGTTAGTTCAACACTGCTGCCAAAATGGTACTTGAACTATGATACCACAGTTCACTACTAGTATTTGCAGAAAGTCTTCTCACACAAAGAAAAAAATACCAGTTTTAAGAAATATTATAGAGCTGTGTAATAGTCACTCACTATATAAACCATATAGAACCTATATAAACCATCGAAAGAATGATATTTTTTTCTGTAGTACACACCAGTTGAAGGATTTCCCTGACAGACAGAAGGTGCTATGGTGCACAAAGTCACTGTGTTACTGACTCCAGCTACCCATGGTACTGGGTGGCAAAAACCAGGTGGTGGATAATACCACTGTGAAGACCAGAAGGGAATGTCATTCTCACATATAAGCTGTAAGTTATAAGTAGAGTTAGGAGTCTCATAATGAAAGAGCCAGTTTACTGTCTTTTAAGAAGGCATTTGTTATTTTTCTGATTAAGATTTGATGGATCCACTATCCTGCTTTTGGAGGAAATGACTTGACTACCTGCCAGCATCTTCTTTACCTTAATATACAAATAATGACATGAATAGCATGAATAGTAAATTTGGATTTGATGACTACTAGACAATAACTGGACAACAAAGTAAGAATGGAAAGAAATTGGGAAGTGCAGGAACAGTTTCCTTTTGCCCTGACTCCCTTCATCTTTGACCACCACGGTTTGAAAAATTATATTGGAAGAACAACAAAGCTATCCAGTACTTCTTCCTGACAAACAAAACTGATATCAAATAAGACAATATGCACTATTTTAACACAGGAAAGCTCTGTATCTTTTACAGAATTTATCCCTTGATATTAGAATGCCTGATGAAAACAGATATCTGCTAAGGTGAAAGCGAATTCCAACAACATTGATAAACTAAGGAAATTCATGAGCAGCTATTTTTTTACACTTCCATTGGTAAAAGTTTGGAAATGGCTGGAATCATCTCAGTCCTATGTGCTAAAAAGGTTTTGCTTAATACAAATCTTTGGACTGGAATCTTATCAGAAGTTTCCTGTCCATTTAAATGATAGCTAAAGCAACACATGATGGAAAAGGTAAATAAAATTTGCCTAACATGCTTCAGTACTAGTTTAACCCTTTTTCTCAGTCCCAACAAAAGAACAGTTAATCTTCATACCAATAACCAAACCAGAACTGTGCCTCCTCCCACAAGCTTTTAAAAGAGGATATTTTTATCTGAAAGATAATGAAAAAAGAAGGAATAAAAGACTAACTGTTAAAGCACTAAACATGTCAAGAACTGGCAGGTTTAGAGATTTCTCTAGTTTTTGGAAAAGCATGGATATTGCTCAGCAGGCCCTCAACTCCTTCTCACCACTAGTTGTCTTACCCTTTCTTTCTGCACAAAGACTGACTAAATTGGAAAAAGATGAAGCAGCAATTTTTAAAGTCAGTATTTAAAACCTTCACTATTTCCCTTCATCTCTGTCTGTGGCTATGAAGGTAACATATGAGAAGTAGTATGAAAGAAAACAGTAACTTTCAGTTTTCAGCAGCTTGATATTTCCACTTAGTTTTAGAGATAAAATTTTAAAATAAAGGAAAAAGAGATTTTATTTTTTCATGCACGTGATCAACATTATCACAAGAAAATAGAAAACAGAAAACAGCCACCAGCAGAAAACTATGATAAAGAATGGTAAGGCTTTATTTCTAAGAACATGTAGAGTACTTCACCAAGTCTCCTACTTTCCTTTGCACAACACTGTGCATTAAGAATTCACCAGAGAAGCAACACACAGAAAAATGTAACTATTAATATTTCTCCTAGATGATTCAGAAACAGCTAAAATACAAAGAATCAGAGGAGTGATGGAGAGGCAACAGTAATACTATCTATCCGACTGACAAAGACTCATCTTCATAGAACCATTAACTACTGTAAAGATTGTAAAGATTTAAAAGAAGATATTGATGTTCAATATCTTGATGAAATTCTTACACAAATTTCACCATTTTGGTTTACTTTCAAATTCACGTACTTTATCAGACTAGTTTTAAAATAGAATTCTGAATTAGCACCAAATTTCTATATCACTATATCTCAACACGAGGTTCCCTGGTGATCTAGTGGTTAGGATGCGGCGCTCTCGCCATCACTGCCTGGGTTTGATTCCCAGTCAGGGAACTCCCCCGGGCAGATGGAGCTCGTCAGCCCTGTAAGGCCACCCATCTAAGAGAAGGTCACTCTAAACAAACCTACGTCCTGAGGACCTCGCTGCCACCGTCCGAGCTCGCTCGGCCCCGGCAGATGAACCTCGGGATTAAAGGGTGGGCTCAGTTCAGCGCACACTGTGTCTCACCTAAAAAATCCACTGCGCAGGCTCGAAGGGTAATGACCTTTCCCAAATCTTCGTTTGCAAAGACTGGCCAAGATGATGATGATGATGATGATATCTCAACATGCAAAAACCATTTCAGATTCTGGAGAGAACTTCATAAGCATATAAACATATTCTAGACTTTACATATACATATTGATATACAACTCATGTATATTTTGCTATATTTTCTCTCCCCTGTTTAGTTGCAAAGAAGCTTTGGTGGGTGCCGGGGTCAACCCACTACAACTACATACACACACATAAAATACTATACCTTCCCTTTTTTGTTGTAAAAATAGTTAAGATCCTGTATTGTGAACTTACCCACAGATTGGTGTATTTTCATTTGATCCAATTCTTCTTCAAGATTCAGTCTACAAAAAGGGAAATAAGAAAATAAGAACCACAGAACAATCACATATGCCACCCAATCACAAGATGCCACTAAAATCATTCAAAAAATTAAACCAAACCTATATCAATACATTACTGGAAAAAAAGTTATCAACACTCAGGATTAGTTCTATTTGATAAAACTTAGCATACTTCATATATAAGGAGTCATTTGTACAACAGCTTTTTAAAATTCACAAATCATCTGAACTTCCAAAATTCAGACACAACGTTGATCATACACTAAGAAGTTTCAGCTGATCTTTTTAGGTAAGAAAATGCCTGAGATGAAAAAAAGACCAGTAGGAGGCAGAATCCTGTTAAGATGGGAGTAAGTACTCTGTCCCAGAGGGAACCACCAGCCAAACTTGAGCAGATATATTGTAGCAGTTCACAATTCTTTGAGAAACTTATTAACAAAATCTTTCCTCCCCTTCTCCAGCCCTGATCTACCAGTATATTACTACCATAGTCTATTCTGTAATATCAACCAGCAGAACAAAATACCTGAATCAGTCTTTTTCAATTTATTAAAATTACAAACAAATAAAGTCGCCAGGATACCAGTGCTAAAGTCTCAAAGTCAAATTGGGAAATGCTAGAATGAAAGACATGAATTTAAACTGTTCATTTATACTTATGTTTTCTGACACAATCTCTAACTATATAATTGCACACTATTTCAGCAATAAAATCCCCACCCATTTTAGCCAAGGATCCTACAGCACACAGAACAGTGCACAGTCATTTAATTTGCACCTTTCACTTAAAATATAAACACATACCATATACAAATACACATAATTCTAGCTCTGTTGTAAAAGTTGGACTGCTAGTTTTCTCACAGTTATTTTCTGCTGTACTCTGAACAGCAGTACCTTTTTCACAGGAAATTTATGCTTTACCCTACTTTGCCCTCTGCGATAAGGCATAAAATATTTGGCCAAACTATCTTAAGGAAAGGTCTAAAGAAAAAGTTCTTCCAGTATACACAGTATGTTACAGCACATTATACATCATATGCATCTCAGACTCAGCTGTACAACATGAATTACAACGAAAATTATAAACACAAAAGGTTGAAGTAACTTGCTTTGCGTGACACATAAGAATCCAGCTGGTTTTTCAGAATCACTCAGCTGCCTTCACTGGCTGACTTTCTGTGATCTTCTTTCATCCTCCAATACTCAGTCAGTTATCATCAATTTCTATTATACAGACTACAGTGGCCTTTGTCTCCACACTGTCCTAACTCCTTACAGCGTGTTAACTTCTTGCACTGAATGGCAAAATATTTCCTTGAAAAAACATTGTTTACATAATTAAAGACTGAATCCAACATATCTGCTTCCTGCTTGAACCTCTATCTTCTGAGCAAGTTAGTTTTCAACTTCAAAAACATTATTTGAATGAAAATGTTTATGAACATATATAATACCTCTCTATACACTAATTGACAAGCACACAATGAGGATTGTACAAGATTTTTAAGAGCAAACTTTTCATAAAGATTTTTCTTCAGGCTGATGAAACACATGAAGAAGTAACTAAATCATACAAAATAAGTAAAGGGGTAGGTTTCTAGTCTGAAAATCTGAAGTGCCTCCAAAAAAATTAATATGCCTGTGAAATAGTCTCCAACTATGTTATGATACATTTAAGCTGGAAAAATTTCAGTTAAGTCTGGACAAGAAATTACAATATACAATACAAGATCCAACCCATACAAGTCAATGACTGGCTTGCATGAACGTTAGAAATGCTCAACTGGGTTAGCCCAGTGCCAGGTCCATCTATCACTAGTGCTCTGTTTCCAGCAGAGGCAAAAGCAGATTCTACTCAGGAAAGAGAGCAAGTCTAACAGTTTCTGCAGTTTGATTCCAATTTTCTATCCTAGAAGTGGCATGTAAGCACTACGCTTTGTTTCTTCTGCTTTAACTGGTTCCCTGTTGCTAAAAGGACCTTTCCTCCAATCTCACACCAATGGAATTTTTTCTTTCTAATCTTTAATGTGGAGCCTTGTCAAAGGCAACTGAAAAATACAGATCAGATTACTGTTACCACATAGTTACTATCACTCTTCCATAATTCCAGCAGGTTAATGAAGCAGGATTTCCCTTTAAAGGAGTCACAGTAATGCTTCCCCAACAAAACTGTGCTGATCCACGCTTAGTGCTCTTTCTCTCTGGTGGTTTTTTTGGGGTTGTTGGTTGGTTGGTTTTTTTAACCCCTCTCCAAGCACCATTTTTTCCTAAAGACTGACTGCCACCTTCCTAAGTATGGAAGCAGTCAGGCTCACTGGTCTGCAGCTCCCTCTGGAGCCCACTCTATAGATGGGAGTTACAGTGGCAAACTGCCAGTGCACTGGCACAGTGACTGTTAACAATGAGATACAGTTCAGTAACTTCATACTTTCACATCCCTTGGGTGTGAACATGCTTCAGTTTCTTCACACCTCGGTGCAGGAAGAATATTAGCATCAAGATATTAACAACTAATCAACTTGACCTCATAATTGCTTCAAATATGTCTAACAGCTTTGATCTATCTGTTACAAAGAATACAGGACTTGTTGGCATCTTCTAAGCATCATTAGCAGTGAATCATACACTCATAGAATAGTTTAGGTTGGAAGGAATCCTAAAGATCATCTAGTAGCAAAGACTGACCGAGCAAAAGATTGTTCTTTTATTGTCTTGTAAACCCAGCATATCATTCTACACTGTTATCATTAAGCAAACCTGTAAATTTCCTTACTGTCTTCTTTTACACCTATTATAAGCAAAATTTTACTGTAACAGCTTAAGCACATTTGTAAAACAATCTTCAAAAACCTGTTTAAGCTTCTCAACTTCTCACATGCATCTGCCCTGCTACTTTTTATTAGCCCTACTTTTTCGTAGCAACACAAGTTTAAGTATTAAATGCTGACCTTTTCTCTGTGAGGGCCATAAAAACTTCCCCATCGAGTCTCTAGATAGAGCTACTTAAGACTATTTTGGGACACAGGTTGGTTTGGGGTTATGTGGATCGGTTATTTGGGTTGGTTTGAGGTTACTATCAGTGCTGGTCACTTTTAAACATTATCTCCTAAGGGCAAAAGAGCAACAATTCCCAAATGTTGGAAGTCAAGGAGGCAAAGCACAAGGTTGCCTTGGCTGAACAGAAATCTTTGCTTGGAATTAAGGCAAAAAAGGAAGCTGTATGCCCAGTGGAAGCAAGGTCAAGTCACATGGGAAGAATTCAGAGATGCTGCTTGTCACAATAGGGAAAAAACTCATGAAGCCAAAGCTCAACTGGAGTTGCAGCTGGCCAGAAATGTGGGGGACCATAAAAATTGTTTTTTCAAATATATTAATGTCAATAGGCAGCATAGAAATATCATTGGCCTGTTACAGGATGAGGATGGTCATCTCACAACCAGGGACAGACACAAGGTAGAGGTGTTTAATGCTTTCATTGCTTTGTCTTCAACACTGATGATGGACCAAGGAGATCTCAGTGCCCTGAGCTGGAGGACTGTGACTGCGAGAATGATCAACTCCTAGTCGACCCTGAAACTGTGTGAAATCTGCTACTCCAGCTGGATCCCTAGAAATCTATGGGGCCTGATGGAATTCATCACAGAATCTTCAAAGAGTTAGCTGATTTTATTGCAAAATGTTACTCGATTTTTGAGCAGTCTTGGGAACCCAGAGAGGTCCCAGCTGACTGGAAGGTAGCGAATGTTGTCCCAGTTTTTAAGAAGGGCAAGAAGGAGCACCTCAGAAACTACGGACCTGTCAGACTCACTTTAAGTGCATGGTAAAGTTGTGGAAGAATATTCTGGGAAGTATTGAAAAACAGCTGAAAGACAACATAGTCATTGCTCAGAGACAGCACAGCCCAGCCTCATGAGAGGAAAGTCTCACTTATCCAACTTTATTTCCTTTTATGACGAGGTAACCCACACAGTTGATCAAGGGAAGCCAGTTGATGTAATCTCTTGGGATTTCAGTAAAGCTTTTGATACTGTCTCTCACAGGATCCTTCTGGACAAATTGTCCAGCACACAGCTGGATAAACACATCATGCAGTGGGTGAGCAATTAGCTCACAGGTCGAGCACAGAGGGTAACAGTGAATGGGATGACATCAGACTGGTGACCTGTCACTAGTGGGGTTCTAAAGGGCTCCATCCTGAGCCCTGTGCTCTTCAACATCTTCATAAATGGCTTGGATGCAGGACTGGAAGGGATACTAAGCAAGTTTGCAGATGATACAAAACTGGGAGGAGCTGTTGACTTCCTCAAAGGCAGGGAGTCCCTGCAGAGAGACCTTGACAAATCAGAGGACTGTGCAATCACCAACCAGATGAATTTCAACAAAAGAAAGTGCCAAATTTTGCACCTGGGATAGGGCAACCCAGGATGTTCATACAGACTGGGGAATGAGATGCTGGAAAGCAGTGCCATAGAAAGGGACCTGGGGATCCTGGTCGATGGCAAGTTGAATATGAGTCATTAGTGCCCTGGCAGCCAGGAGGGCCAACCGTGTCCTGGGGGGCAACAGGCAAATTATCACCAGCTGGTTGAGGGAGGGGATTGTCCCGCTCTGCTCTGCACTGGTGTGGCCTCACCTTGAATATTGTGTGCAGTTTGGGGCACTGCAATATAGGAAAGCTATTGAGCTGTTAGAGAGTGTCCAAAGGAGAGCAACAAAGATGATGAAGGGCCTTGAGGGGAAGCCATTTGAGGAGCAGCTGAGGTCACTTGGTCTGTTCAGCCTGGAGAGGAAGACACTGAGGGGAGACCTCATTGCAGTCACGACTTCCCGTGAGGGGAAGAGGAGAGGCCTCTGTGCTGACCAGTGACAGGACTGAGGGAATGGCCTGAAGTTGTGTCAGGGGAGGTTTAGGTTAAATATCAGAAAGAGATTCTTCACCCAGAGGGTGGCTGGGCACTGGAACAGGCTTCCCGGGGAAGTAGTCACAACACTATGCC